CACCATACTATTAAGCCTCATTTGGTATTTAAAAATATAAATCCAAGGCAATATGACATCTGGATCACCACAGAGAGAGTGAAGCCAACTCGACAGTTTTCATGAAAACACCTTTTAAAAAGAAGCTTTAAACAAACGAACAAATACTCTTTTTACATTCACTTGAGATTTTTGTGAATTTGACTTCATTGTCACACAGGACCAAGCACATCTACATTTTGGGGGAAAAAAATTAAGGATAAAAATATCAAAGAGAGAACAAAACAATCCAAAGTATTGAAGGATTACAAGATATGAAGCTTACCCATACTAATTAGAAAATTACCTACTTTATCAAGTGAATTTTCCAACTGACAGAAGACTGTCCTTCAGGTTCTTAGCAGAGGCTGCTGGTTGTTCCCAAAAAGCCGTTCTACCTTCTTCCTTTAATAATGGAATTCCTGAATCTTAGTGGATCACCTGGCAATCAGCACTGCATTGTCTAGCTTCCTTTGCAGCTAAGTATGGCCAAATGACTAAATTCTGGCCTGGAGGTGCAAATGCAAAGAGTTGCAACCTTGATTGTGGCCCATTTAAAGCAACAGGCATGCCCTCCCTTGCTTCTTTGTTCTCATTCTGTTGGCTGGAATAGTAGCACAGTGGGACCTGGAGCAACCATGTTAGACCAAGAGGTAGAAACTGTGTGTTAAGAATGGCAGAGCAGGCTAGGTTCAGTGGTTCAGCCTGTAATCCCAGCACTTGGGCAGGCCAAGGTGAGTGGATTGTCTGAGCCCATGGGTTCAAGACCAGCCTGGACAACTTGGTGAGATCTCATCTCTACAATAAATCAAAAATCAGCCTGGTGTGGTAGCATGTACCTGTAGTTCTGGCTACTTGGAAGGCTGAGGTGGAAGGATTGCCAGAGTCCAGCAGGTTGATGCTAGGGTGACTGTGAGAGTGCCACTGCACTCCAGCTTGGGCAACAGAGTGAAACTCTAACTCAAAAAAAGAAAAAAAAAAGAATGGCAGAGCAATAATATGGAAGGAACCTGGGTCCCCACACATGGAGCCATCAGATAAGCTCCGACAGCCTTCCCAGATTTTAACAAGAAGAAAAATTAGCTTCTATTTTTTTAAAGTCACTGTTATTTGGCCTTTATTATAGTTGCTGAATTTGTATCCCAAATGATGCAAATACCAGCATTTAAAAATATTTTTGAAATATTTTATTTTGAATATTTTAGGAATAATAACTTTTCTAGAATAGACCACACTTTTCTTAACTCACTAAGCAGAGCAGACATGTCACCATTTAGTGTTTTTTTTTTAAATCTGGAAGCATAATTGCTATTCTAAACAGTCATACAAAGAGATTATGGAGACATACAGGACTGCTGGCCACTGTGGGCTTGGTCCGTTCATGTCTAAGTCTGGCAGTTTTTCTGCCTCTCCCTTCGCTGTCAAACTATCAAGGCTTGAATAAGAAAATACACATAAAGTGCTTCCACCCAGGGTCTCAAACATAAAAGTGCTCAATAAAAGTTATGTATGACTATTATTGCTATATGCATTATTACTGTGTATTGGGAATAAACAGCTATTTTTAAACCCAGTACTTTTTTCTTCCCTTTTAAATCACAAATGCCAACCATAATGACACAGAAGATGGAACTCCCACTATTATAAACATTATAATTGGCTGCATCAATAGCATGGAAGCTAGGATTCGTCCTTGGTGTAGACCTTCTCTGTCTCTTTCAAAAGACCTCAGTGGTCTTTTTGGTCATGAAAGTAAGGAAAATCTCCCTGTTGATCTTGGAGAGCCTCTGAACTAAGGACCTAAGCCAACAGCAGATGCTTCCAACTGAGAGGTAAATGTTCTGTTTGATAATGAAGATGACTATTTCCTTGGCAGTCAGAGGCTAAATCTTCAGAGAACATACGATGTTAAGGGTTTTTTGCTTTCTTTGACTGGGGTGAGAAGGGGACAGTAAGGCCAGAAAATGTGATGCTCTCCCAGCAGTGATCATGTCCCAGCAATGTGGCTACAGGACTGGGGCCAAGAGGAAGGTGGCCAGATGGGCCCTGGGAGGGGACCTGACCTTTGAACTCTACAGTATTGACATCTGACTGCCAGTTTAACCCTTCCTTTTCTGCCTGTAATTCACTCAGGTTATCCTCAAGACTCAGAGAAGCTATTAAATGTCATAGCCTGTGTCAACGGTTCTTGGGTCTTGAAGTAAGGTCTTGAACCTGAGAGAACTTCCACATGAGCACAGAGGTGATTGACAGAGCAGTTGGGGCAGCACCAGGCAAGAAGTGACAAATGTCAGCCAGCACTGATCTGTGATAGAATCAGCACCCAAGCCATCCTCAGAATCTTCTGGAGAAGAGCCTCCCAAAGTCTCAAAACTATATTATTTTATTGATACTATTATTAGCATCAATATGGCATTATAATAGCTATCGATATGACAGAATTATGTTGCTATTTATTATTTTATAATATTGATAATGTTACTGTTTTATTTAATTGCTCTGTTTTGTTTGTATATTTTTATCATATGATGACAATACTTATCATTATCCTCTCAGTGTCCAGGCGTGTGTAGTCTTCTCCCTCAAAAGTCCTTCCCTTACAAATCTAAAGCTGCCAACAGGCTGTAACTGAGTTTGTAATAAATATGTTTGCAATAAAGGTAAATGGATTCTGATGGAAAGCTTGGAGAAATTTTCTTAATAGAATACAAGCTCTTTAGGGTTAGACCAAGTAATATCTTATTTCACTTGGTCAGTATTTTTTTTTTAACAACAACAGAAAAAATACTGGCTTCCCAACTGTGTCTCAGATAGTTAAAACAGCCAAATTAGTGGCCATTTGGTAAATTGAGTGAAGCTGTACAATTCTGCTTCTGCTTTCTTCACAATTAAAGTCCTTTTATTAATGGTAAAATGGGATGTCAGGGTCTAGGAAATTGTCCAAAAAACTGGGTAGACTTAATAGGTTGTCAACTTTATTTTGCCAACTAAGAACATTTTTTAAATTACCAAATCTTATTCCCATACAACATTTACTAGGACAAAAAACATCTTCCACCAAAATAGTGGGAAGCAGGTATTTCAGAATAAAGGATCATCCTTTAAGTGGACTCATTTTAACTTTACGAAGACTTTCAAATGGTCCTTGTTTTTCTCATGTCATCATGGATGGGTTCTCGTGTCATCATGATGGGTGGGAACTTCATGCAGACTGGTACCTGGGTCAGCACTGTTCTTTTAGACCATTCAGCCCATAGCTTAGGAAGCTGTCTGGGAGCTTAGCCTAAAATAATTTCCATACATTTTCCTAAATACACCGTAAGTAGATTCGAGGAAGAGCCATGACCTGCTGTCCCCAGAAAAGAATCTCTTTGAGGGAATGAGAATAGACTTGTCTGCTTTGTGCAGGGCTTGTGTTCTCAGTCAACCAACCCAAAAGCTTTCTTCTTGATCTAAGTTGTCTCTGACTAGTAGGAGCACTAAAAACTGCCCTTTTTGGGAGACAGGAAAATTGTGAAACCGGGTTCATTCCATGGAGTGAATTTCTACTCTTCTTGACCTCAGAAATGCTGTGTCTGTTGGTCATTTTCATTCTTGGGTCACAGCCCCCAGGATAGCAAGAGAAATGCCAAATAGGAGAAAGAAGTTTTCGGGATGTTTCTTCAGATCCTGGCTTTGCTCCCTGGATCTGTCATGGAAGGGCTGCCCTGTTCCGGCCCTCCGGATGTGATTCCCAAATACCAGCAACCGCACAGGTAGCTGAGCGGGTGAGAACTGCCCCGTGCCAGCTTCAGAGACACAATGCTAAAGCTGGCATGCACATGAGAAAATGGAGGTTCTCTCTGTTCAAAAAAATAACCAGTGACGGAAGACTTTACCTCATGAAATAGCTGAGTAAAAGCCTCTTTTACTAAAACCAATGACCCCAAAATAACTTTGAGTAACCTTCCCCCACCTCCTGTTTTTATTTTCCAGCATTTGGAAGGACTGTGGATAACCAAAGGGACAAAGGTTGAATTCATTACCGACTCTTCCAGAAGCTCTTTCTATTGACCTGAAATAATTTCCATACATTTTCCTAAATATATGGGAGTTAATTGCCTATTTGCATTTGGGTTTCAGTATTCAGGTCTCAAGATGAAAATATAAGCCGTTATTTCACAAAAAATAAATGAAGGAAAACTTCTGAAGCTCATTTTCTAATGCCCAAAAGGTTTGTGGAACACAAGCTTAATATTTTTTCTTCTCTAGTAACTTCTTTAAAAACATCTTAGAGAAGCAGCTCTCCCTCAGGTTTGAGTAGGTTTGTGACTGAGGTGACATCAGTGGACTTATTCTCCACCCAGCTTCTACAAATTATCATTAATTCCTAAAAAGGGTCACAGGAATTTGATTTTGCCTGGCATCCTCTTTAAAATCCAACTTGATGTCAGCACCTTGTGCATGCGGCAAATTATGAATGAACACCCTGAATTTTCATTATGACTTCCTGTGTTGAGGCTCTGTTTGGGAAGACTCTTCCATGTCCTTTGACACTGGCCTGCCCGTATTATTAATTTAAGTGTCTCAGGAATATCATCTGTTTGTACTAAAATAAAGGACGAATGAGTTCTGGAAGCGGCTTTGAGAGCCACCCTAGTAGAAAGAGTCAGGGGGAAATCTTAGTGTCAGAAACACTAATTTAGATGCAAGGTTTAATAATGTGCGTTTAGCTATGACCTCAAAATCTGCTTGCCTTACAACTTTCCCCATCTGGTGTAATTTGCTTTCTCCACTTAGAAAAATGCACACGACAGCACACATCGTGTGCCATGCTGTAACAATGAAGTTCCATCCGTCACGTGCCTCCCTGGGAGAGACTTGGTTCCATCCTGGCTTGACCAAGCTCTTTTCCCCGTATTTCGTAGCGGAATTCTGCCCAAGCACCCGAGCCCCAGCCTGACAACACTTTGACTTTGGAGAAGGAGGTGATGAAGCCGTACCTTGTACCCAGGTTTCCGCCCTCTTTTCTTTGGGATCTTCACTGCTGGTAAGGAACCAGCTGAAGCAGAATAGAGGTTATGAACGGCCATCTTCACAGGTGTGGCATGAAGTGGGGGTCGGCCTCGCTTTCTCCCAGGGATCCTCTGAGACTGCATTTCTGCAGGTGCCAGTCTTACGGATTGAGGTGACAATGCGCTCACAGGCAGAAGAGATGCTAAGAATTAGTCCAGACACAAAGCAAAACAAAAACAGAAAGGTTTGTTTGGTTGCAAGGCAAACATGGATCCTGCCTGGTGATTTTGGCAATACCTACCTTATTGGAGGGCATGACCAAATACAGGAGCCAGGCACTAGCAGGAACATGTACAGTGCCATTGGTCTCCTGGGGGGAGTTTACAGGTCCCCTGGTATAATTTCAAGGATAGTCAATTTCCATGGGGTTATAGGGAAGATACCGGCTAAGTGGAGAAACAGTAAGTTCCCAGCTTCAAACACAGCTGATAATGTCACCAGAGACAAAATGACTTCACCTGTGTCGGCTTCCTCAGATCGTTAAACTCTGACCTGATGTAACAATACTATTAAATAAACAAAGCCACTCTCTCACAGTCACTGCTGTTTCTTTGACTGAATTATAAATTGTCATGACTTTTTTTTCTTTGAAAGAAATTTAATGGTTACAAATCAATTGTATTAAAGTTGATGGTGTCCCTCTACCAAAATGTGGACAGAGATTTACATACAGATATGTTCATTTTAACATTATTTAGAATTGCAAAAACAAAATGGATACAGCCCAAATAATAAGCAATAGGAGGACATTCACCATACCTGCAGAATAAAACAATCAGCTAGTTAAAAACCTTTCTGGACACTCTTTGAATAACATGATATTGAGTGAAAAAAAGCACATACACATGCAAAAGTGAACTCAACTATGCAAAAATGTAATGGTTAAAAAGGTGAAAGAAGACATGTTAAAATGCCACCAAGGCAAAATGGTAGCACTATGGATAGTTGTTCACTATGTACAATCCTTTGTACAGATACCCCACATAGTATAATAATCCAAGCATAGCATTAAAAGTATGAATAATAAGCTTCACAGGTAGAAACGAAAGGTAGTTGATCAGCCCTGACCCAAAGAACATAGCAGTATCATGAACTCAGGGATCAGATTTGCTGGAATGTTCAGGAATGTGACAAGTGGAACAGAACTTTAGACTTTAACTCAGTTGTTGATGTTAGGTGATGAAATCCATTTCTAAGGATTAGTGGTAGTTTCCAGTGGAAATGAGAGACTTTTGCTCAAAGGATGCAGAGGAGTTGGGAAAGACAAAGGGAGAAGTCCCCACACCTGGGTTTGGGCAGCATTGCAGGGATGAGATGGCTTTGCTCAGGAAGGAAAATATAAAGTAGTGGAAATTCTCAAAAATATGACAGGAAATTTTGGGCATCCTTTACATATTTAAGATTGCTTTGTTAATTCTCTGAAAATTAACAAAGTCTATCAATAATCTTGATTGTTCTTGGAAATACCATATGTAATAAATAGAATTTTAAATTATAAACTTATTTATTGAATGCACTGTTATTAAATATTTCATATAGGTAGACAAGCTATATTGATGTCAAATGTCCTGTTCTTGTGAGATTAAGAAAAATACTCTGTCTCATTGATTCTAAGATGCATATTTTTTAATACATTAATGTCTCTGAAATCGGGGCATACTCTCTACAGTATGTCAGAATTCCAAAGAATAATGACATGTGATATAATTAAAATTACCTCAGAGTCAATGAATTATGATCAGGGAACGTAAACTCATTAACATGTAGACCAGAAACCCATTCTATTTCTGGACTTAGTGTCTATCCTCCACATTGCCAATATATACCCAAAATATTCATTTACAGACAAATGACTACCAAAAGCACTGAAGAACCATCAAAATGTATTTAATAAATTTTTTGCTGTGTGAAAATTGGTCTGAGTCCTATTTTAGATGATTATGATCAAGTTTCTGTTGCTTGATTATGAGTTCATATACTTTGGACTCAGGAATTCTTCATAATTTAAGATAAGTTTCTCTACCTTACTGCTTTGTCTTTATTGAGGAGGTCACAACCTATCCACTAACATCAAGATTAAAAGTCAACAAGAGGAAACCCAGAAACAGAGAAGGTATTGAATCTCCTCTGTTGTGAAAACGGGAGTCCTCTGGAGGGGTTAAATTGGGGACACTCCTTCCATGGTGAACTGTAATAGTCAGCTAACTGGGATGCTTCCTCACAAAAATCTTCTTAATAGGTTTTGGAGAGTTAGAAAAATATTTTTTAAAATGAACTATTACATTATCTTAAGAATTTTTATCATACAAAATTCAACTTGACTTCCCCAAAGTTTCTCAATTTGTCCAAAAGTTCTTCTAGGAAAAAAAAAGTATTTTCTAAACTGAGTCTTTGTTGTTTGGCTTCGTACTCTCCTTTTGAGGAGAAACCGGGACTTGTGCCGCTTTGAAACTCTCGCCCTCTGTAGAAGCCCATTGTCTTAGAGAGCATGAAGGAGCTTTCCAGGCAACTAAATCTGACAAATGAATTCCATGCCAATGAACACTGAACGGCTATTGGCGGAATACTATGAGGTGCCACAGCAACTGGGGAGACATTTAGAGATAGATAGAAAGTCTTCCCTCTGTCTCCTCACCCCACCACACCTGAGTGATTGCTTATTTGATCAGGAAGCTGCTCTTTCCCAATTGCTTGTCACAAGTAAGTACAATTTTAAGGAACAAAAGAGAAGATTTTTAAAAATTGAAGAGGTCATTTTAAAGATGCAAGATTCTCTAAATGCCTCCTTGATAGAATTATAAAGGATCGGGGAAAGCACTTACAAAGTAGTTTTTCAATAACAGATGCAGACACTTTGGAAAAGATGGTGGCAAAAGTTCAGGTGCCCCAAAATCTCCCTTTTCAAAACTAAGATACGAACCCCCCAAAAAGTAAGAATGACAAAGATCAATACTGAAAATAAGGAACAGTCTCAATCTTGGGATGCAAAGGACACAAGACAGATGGAATTTTTTAAAGGGAGTACATAAATATGGAAGATAAACAATGAAAATTATCATGTGTTTAAAGAAAAGCTCAAAACTAATTTTTTTAAAAAGAAAATACTCAAAGATATATCAATAAACTGTCTTCTGGAATGAAGAGAGCTTCTGCAACTTAAGAAAATGTATTTGAAAATTAACAGCAACAAATCGACACCAAAAAGAAAAGGAAAAACATCTATAAACCATTGAGGCAGGACTAAGAGATCTTTTTCAGTGGGAAGACTAAAGAGACTGGCTTTCTTTAGGACCATTAGCCAGAAAATAGTCGTCACCATGATGACATTTTTTCCAGTTATTTCCTGTTGTTGTCACACTTCCTCCTACCACAGGGCCTTTTCATATGCAGTTCCCTTTGTCTGGCATGCTCTTTCTTCTGTCAGTTAACTCAGGGAAGCTTGCCCTGACCTCATTAGAGTTTCCTAAGCTTAGAGTTCTTCAGCTGAGACACAAGCCCACTGCACGTGTAGCACCAACCATGGAACGTGGGCAAGGGAAGCTCATGGGAACAGGAAGCTTAGATGACCTACTGGGCCTCTGACTTAGGAGCTATTTGCAGCAGGCTAATTTGCTTGCTTTCAAAGAGGGTAAGATCTCAGACCTCAGAATTCTTTATATAGATTCACTAAGAAGTAGAAGGACTCAGATGAACAAAATAATATTTTTAAAAGTCTTTTTATGCCCTTAAATAAGATGTGAATAAATAAAAAGATTATTCTATCATTGGACAGATGGATATTTTTTAAAATATAACTTTCAGGACTGGCGTTGTGGTTCAAGCCTGTAATCCCAGCACTTTGAGAGGCCAAGGTCAGAGGATGGCCTGAGCCCACGAGTTCAGGAACAGCCTGGGCAACTTGGGGAGACCTCATCTCTACAATAAATCAAAAAATTAGCCAGGTGCAGTAGTGAACGCCTGTAGTTCTGGCTTGGAAGGATTGCCTGAGCCCAGCAGGTTGATGCTGGAGTGGCTATGAGCATGCCACTGCACTTCAGCCTGGGTGACAGAGTGAGACTCCAACTTGGAAAAAAAAAAAATGTATATGTGTGTGTGTGTGTGTGTGTGTGTGTGTGTGTGTGTGTGTGCGCGTGTGTGTGTATAATATAATTTTCACCTAAACTATTCCATAAATTAAATGCAATCACATTAAGAATTCAAATTGACTTTAGGAAAAGAAGACAAAATAAAGGCCAGCAAGGGACACTTGCCCTGCTGGTTACTAAAACATATTCTAGAACTTCAACAGTGGCAACACTATGGAGCAGGAGTAGCAATTGACACAATGGAAAAGTGAGTTCAGAAATTCAACATATATATGGTTTTGGTTTTGGTTTTATTTTTTTTGAGTCAGAGTCTCACTCTGTTGCCCAGGCTGCATTGCAGTGGCATGATCGCCTCAACCTGCTGGGATCCTGCCACCTCAGCCTTCCAATTAGCTGGAACTACAGGCACATACCACTACTCCTGGCTAATATTTTTTATTTACTGTAGAGATGAGATCTCACCAAGTTGCCCAGTCAGGTCTCGAACCTCTGGGCTCAGGCAATCCTCTCATCTCTGCCTCCCAAAGTGATGAGATTACAGGCGTAAGTCATTATGCCCCGCTAAATATATCTTATATTTCCACTTTCACAAAAAATTTAGGAGCATTTTACATCAAGATGGGAAAGCTCAATAAATGATTTATGAACAACTGGCATTTAGAAATAACATTTTAGCTATATTTCAGCAAAAAAAATCTAGAAATACCTAAGACCTAAATATACATTAAAGTAACATCAAAAAGTACTGAAGACAATGTAAGTCAGCATCTTTATACCCTTGGCCTGGGAATGGATTTTCTAAGTACTGAATAGTTAGAAAACTCAGGAAGCAGAATTAGCAAGATTGATACATATAAAACTCAAACACTTTCATAAAGTAAAATTATAAAAAAGATTGAAAATAAAGTTAAATAAATTAATTACTACATATGGGACCAATAAAAGGTTAATATAATTGATCCAAATTATTAAAATAATTTTAACCCACTCTACACACCACAGAAAAACAAAGGCCAGGTGAGGTGGCTCGTGCCCGTAATCCCAGCACTGTGGGAGG